CAAACAAGATTTAAATCTGGACAGCTGTGCGCAACCCAAGAGAAAATGGTCATAACCACTTGTCTATGCAGGTTCTAGCTCTGCTGCTTGTGGGACTGGCTTTCTAATGAGCGTTAAACTAATTTTTGGAGGTGTTATCTTCCTCATTGGACTTTAAGCTCTTTTTGATGTATAATTTACATACCTCAAAGTAAACGGATTTTAAGCCATTAGACATACCCTCCTCCTCCATTTCACCACAAGGAACTACCCTTCTGATTTATATTGTCATAATTCATTTGTTTTCTCACCTAGAACATTGTATAAGTGGAATCATACAATATGCATTCTTTTTTGTCTGGTTCCCTTTGCTCAACACAAGGTTTTTAAGATTCATCTACTCTGTTCCTTTTTATTGCTAGTAGTATGCTATCTGCGAGGTCTTTAAAGACAGGGCCTGCCCATCTTTATACCCAGCATTGTACTTAGAACCAGGGTGATATTAGAAATATTTATCAACAGGGATGGTGCGGGCACCTAACAGAGCAGACGTGGCCTGAGGGCTGGAGCAAGGTCCTGTGCCAAAGATGAACCTTTGGTCAGTGGACTGTGGAAAGGTGGGGTCTAGGAAGAGGGGTCATAGCAAAGGGGATGGTTGGCTAGCACGGTAATAAGGTACTTGGAGGCTCAGGACAGTGACTATTTTACCAGCCAGTATGGGAATTTTCACTATTATAACAAAACGGAGACAAGTATACCAGTGTGTGTTGTTGTATGTCAGCTCTGCTTAGGAAAGTGTCCTATACAAAAAAGACATTTGACGGTATTTGTTTATTGACTGGATGAATAACTACAAATCAAGTGTAAATTCAGGATCCCTGCTTGTATCAGAGTTAGAATTGATCTGTCCTGCAAGTATGTCTAAGCTCTTTGGTTTTATCAGTAGTTGAGTAGTGTAGGTTATTAAAACAATTTCAGAGCTTGTATCTAGGTTGGAGCATTTGGCCCAAGGTTGAGACTTGCAGTAACAAAGATTGAAAAATGACCAATAAATGCTGCACTATCTTAACTGAGTTCCCAAATATGAACAATTTTTTTTTAAGATTTTATTTATTTATTTGACAAAGAGAGACGCAGTGAGAGAGGGAACACAAGCAGGGGGAGTGGGAGAGGGAGAAGCAGGCTTCCCGCTGAGCAGGGAGCCCGATGTGGGACTCGATCCCTGGACCCTGGGATCATGACCTGAGCCTAAGGCAGACGCTTAATGACTGAGCCACCGAGGCACCCCCCAAATATGAACAATTATACCTGAAACATGATGGAGAGGAGCCGGACATCAGAAGAAGAATGGGTACGCCATGGAGTAAATATGTGGCACATAGTGAAGGCTTGAAAATACTTGTTGAATGAATGACTGTGTGAATGACTAGTTGTATTGTAAATGTTCAGAAGAGAATGAGGTCGATAGGGGTTGTAAATTCAGAAAAGACTTCTTGGAGAAAGTGGGTTGAAGGTGGACTGTGTGGATGGGTGGGTGAGAATAGTGGATAGTATACATATGGGTCCTGTAGAGGACACCTGCTACTTTAGCCTGCCCATCTAGGGCAGGGCAGAAGAAGCCTGCCCTTCTTCTTACTTTCAGAGGACTCAACTATACTTTCTCTGTTGCTTTCAGGCTTGGAGGGACTGCCCATCAAGGAACCTTGTCTTCCCTAGACAAGAAGTGTATGGGTGATTCAAGTTACACTGATAAAAAGCTCTCTCCCTAGAATGTGGATATCCCATGGAGTAATGCAGAGGATTCTAGGGTGACCTGATGAACCCTGATGTTAGCTCCCTAAACAGATTGTCCCTTGGTTCCTGCTGTCTAGTTCTTCAGAGCTTCCCTGATTTCTGAAATTTGATCGCTCTGCTTTTCCTTCACTTCTGTGAATTATTCCATAGATTTTCAATATTTTTCTTTTTTTAACTTAATGTAGCCAGAGTCAGTTTCTGTTGCTTGCAACTAAGAAACCCTGATTGATTTAGACATTTTCCAGCTTCCCAGCCCCCACCAGTATTTTAGGATATCCTGGCTGGTCGGTAGCTGAGTACAGAATACTTTTGAGTGTTTACTTTAGAGAATGGAATCCCCTACACTTTCTTACTAGCAGATCATGTGGTCTGGCTATTTGAGTCATACACTGAAATGTCTGGAAATCGAATGTTTCACTTTATGAGTCAGTTTCACGTTTTGTTACACATGACTGTCTACGAGGTTCCATTCAGAAAGCTGCTGTGAAGATTTGAAAATGATATCAATGATCCAGTAGACTCTTGAGATCGAAGACACATATTGACTAAAAAAAATGAAGATTCTTACTTTTACAGCGATAGCCAGTGGCTGTCATGTATGTTTGTGTGCGTGTGCATTTGTGGGTTTTAATCTCCTCTCATCTACTAATTTCTTTCCCCCAAAAATGAAATATTTCACTTTCTCTTTCAAGCTCTCTTTACGAAGCTGAACTGTTGCTGTGCTGTTGCACTCCATCTCCCCTTCTCAGCCTCCACTAACTTTTCTGTTAGCTTCATGTCTTGCTACTTACTTGGAACACTCCAATGTTTGCCTCTGACGAGTGCTAATTGAACTATACTCTTCATTTTTTCTCATGAATCCTGGGGAGAGTAGCGTTGTTCTCCCCAAGGGAAAATGAAAACATGACAGAAGACTGAAGTAGCTATTATGTAAACAAGAGAGGAATGAGAGGACAGATTTCAGTGGCCTTTGTGCAAAAGGAAAGTGGAAGGAGAGCAAGTCAAGTCCAAGCCTGGCCGCGAGGACTAGTCTTTAGCAACAATGGCACCGCATGAGATAAAGGAAGGGCCTGTCTCAAGAGGAAGCGCCCCACGTGGAATGGACTGAGCATGAAGTTGCTGTTATCATCCTCTGTGGACTCAGGATGAATGAGAAGGAAGCCCTAAGGGACTTAGAGATGCTATGAATTCAAGAGAATCTGTCTGAAAATCAGTATGATTCTCAGCAGGGGCGCCTGGGTGGCTCAGTTGGTTGGGCGTCTGCCTTCGGCTCAGGTCATGATCCCAGAGTCCTGGGATTGAGTCCCGCATGGAGCTCCCTGCTCAGCGGGGAGTCTGCTTCTCTCTCTCCCGCCCTCCCCACCCCCGCTTGTGCTCTCCCCCCACCCATTCTCTGTCAAATAAATAAATAAATAAAATCTTTAAAAAAATATGATCCTCAGCAATTTTATCCTCTCTCATTGGTTGACAATGAGAGTAAGTGCATATAGCAGATAGAAAATAAGCATAAGCTTGGAGGGTAAAATCTGTCCTTCTGACTTCAAGGTAGGCATCATATCATTTGGTGCTGTGAGAATGAGCTGACATGTCTCATTCATGGCTACTCTTCCCATCATTGCTCTTATTCAAGCTCTCATTATTCCTGGCCTGATTTTCTAATGGTCTCTCTTCTCCTGGTTTCTCTGCTCCCAGAACAAGCAAGACCTGATCATGTCAATCACCTGCTTAAAGACCTTTGATGATGCTCCTTAGTTCATTGGATCAAGCTGGACTCTTTCTTAGGACAGACAAGACCCCACCTATGTGGGCCTCCATATGATTCCCAACTTTGTCTATTGCTACCGGCTTTCCTTCTTCTCTCCCACACTGGTCTACCGGCCATTCCACAGACTCGCCAAGTATTTCAAGGCCTCTGTGACATTGCCCATACTTCTTTCATTTTGGTTTTCTCCTCAAACTTCTTTTAAAGTAATCCCTTAAAGACCAACATTAAATTTCAAAATCTCTGCCCAGCAGAATCTATTGCTTTTTCCTCTGTGCGCAATTTTCTTTCAGTAGAACATACATCATATCAGTGCAGTCCAATAGAAATATAACCTGAGCCAGATATATAATTAAAATTTCCCAGTAGCCATATTAAAAAAGGTGAAAAAAATGCAAAGTTAATTTTAATAACATATTTTCCTTAACATAATATATCTAAAAATATCGTTTCAACATGCAACAATGCAAAACTTATAAAGAAGATATAACAAGTTCTTTGAGATCTGGTGTGTATCAAACACTTATAGCACACCTCAGTTTAAGTACATTGTGAGTGCTCACAGCGACATTTGGCTGGGGCTACCATAATGAACAGTCAGCGTTATGTTATAGGTCATTGTATACTGTTTCTCCTCTGGTTCAGTGATGTGTTTCTTGAGGGGTGTGCCTTATTCATTTTTTGATGTCTGATATATTGTCCCATGCAGGGAACATAGCAGTTGAGTAAATGTGTGCTGAGAGGAAAAATAATTTTTTAAAAGTCTTAGAAATCTACGAATGTTAGGCCAACAAATGAATCATTATATTTCCATTTTTGTCAAATTCCCTTGGTGGTCTCCAGGCGTGCTATAAAATGATGTTCAATAATTCCCTGAAATCAATTGCCAGACAGGCAGTAGGGTGGTATATAATAGGAATGACCTGAAAGGAAGATTAGTTGCACTGTTCAAATTCCATTTGACTGTTGTCAAATTAGCATAATTGTCTGACTACATTATGACTACAATGATTAGATTGTAATTGTATACCTTTTGGGTATTTTTCTCATGACGTTGACCTAGATGAATCAACCATGCACATGTGATCTCATCAGTCATGGAAGGCATCCTTGATTGTGTTCAGAGGAGATGAAAGTGGAAGAAAAAAAAGGGTTAGTTAAATCCAGTGTTAATTGATTACTACCTTTTCTGAACTTCTATAGATTTATAACCCATACCTAGTAACATGTGTACATGGTGCTCCTATGGGTACAAGTCACAAGGAAAAGGTGTGGGATCTCCCATAGCAGTGGCCACATGCCATTGGAAGAGTCTGTTCTTTAATCCTACACTGTTATGAACTTCTCAGTACCACAGGGAAAGAGTCTGTGGTGGGGACTCTTGGGATTTCAGGCTAAAATTACAGAATACAAAATACGGTAACATGCATCTAATGAATTATGAACAATGTCTCTTTCTTGCCAGAATGAAGTCCTTGAGAATCATTCAATGACTTAAAATACAAATAATGATCGTGTCTAAGAAGATTATCCAAAACAGATGGTTTTGAATGCCTTGGCTAAAGTAAAATCCCATAGAAGATGACATTCAGATGGGACTCTTGTCATGTCTGTCACCATGTTGACCATTCCAGGTGTTTTTGACTTTTCCAGTGTGTTTACATGCTTTAAACCATCATACCATCCATTTGTTAATTCCACAGATATGTATCAAACTATTATTGTCATCACTTGCACTATGATTCACATTGGTCATGGAAACTATTAAAACTATTCTGGCTAATATTTTAGAAAGTATCTGTTATTTTTCAACATATAGACATGAACACAAATGATTTCTCTTGTGCTATAAAAGAATCAATAGCTGTAATCAAAGGAAAATCAGTTAAAAAGCGACAACAACATTAAGACTTTGGCTCCCTTCTCTCTTCTCTCTGTGGAAGAAACTCCTGAATGCTGAGAACAGGGACAGACTGAGTCTTGATGGACATTACCTAGTCATGTGGGACAGTTTTATCTCCAGCTATGCAAAAGTATAATTACCTTGGCATATCTCAAACTACCCAACAGAGCAACCCTTACATGTGCTGGGGAAGGGAATAGCCAAACATGGAATAATAATGTTTTATTTTTCAGGCCATTTAAACTCTAACCATTAAGGGAGCACCTGGGTGGCTCAGTCAGTTAAGCATCTGCCATCATGATTCCAGGGTCCTGGGATCGATCCCTGCGTAGCCTCCCTGCTCAGCAGGGAGTCTGCTTCTCCCTCCCCTTTGCCCCCCCTCATACTCTCTCTCTCAAATAAATAAATAAAATCTTAAAAAAATAAAATCTAACCATTAAGGCAATAATGCATTTCAACATTAAAACATTTTTTTTTTAAGATTTTATTTATTTATTTGACAGAGACAGCGGGAGAGGGAACACAAGCAGGGGGAGTAGCAGGCTTCCTGCCAAGCAGGGAGCTCGATGCGGGGCTCGATTTGGGGCTCGATCCCAGGACCCTGGGATCATGACTTGAGCCGAAGGCAGACGCTTAACAACTGAGCCACCCAGGGGCCCCATCAACATTAAAACATTTTTAAGTTCAGGTTCAGCCAAAGTACTTGAAGCATGTTATGTTTTAGAATGTCTTTTTTTTTTTTTTTCCTCTAGACTTAGACATTGATTGTCTGAGTGACATTTAGGTCTTGTCCAAAGATAAATAAGAATCTAAAGGTGATGGGTCATGAAGTGAGTTAAGGGAGCAGCCCACGTGCTCTACCTGACAGGAAAGCCCTCTTGCTTTGTTGTAGAAATGCTGCACATTCCACAGTGTGCGGCTGTGTTGTGTTTGTCCTTCTTCCAAATACCCCATCCATGTTGTATGGGGTGGGGGTGGAGAACATGGCTCTGGTGTCAGACAGACCTGTAATGGATATGTGGCTTCACTACCTCCTGACCCTGGGATTTGGGGCACAATATTACTACTCGTTAAACAACAATGCTTTTTCTTTATAATGTTCTCTATTCTTTTTAAATTGTGTGTACACATACCACCTCAAATTCAAAGTGAACATTCAAACTTTGAAACATTTTTAGAAAATTTGCTCAATGGCAAATTTAATTTTTTTTTTCCAAGACTGTAACAAGGGGAAAAACTTCTACTCCCTTATTGCATGCTGTCAACTTTGAGCTATTTATTAGGCCAACTGACAGCATCACTGGTGTGGCTAATTTGGAATAGACTAAAACCAAAACAGCTTTTGTTTGGGATTCCCTTTGACTTGGGTAATTTCCATTGGGTAAAGTCACATAGTCTTGCGGTTAAGCTCAAGTATGGAACACAATAATAGTTTGCTCCCAATTTTAGAAATGCAAATAACAAAACTTGCTAAGCAATAAAATAGGGGGTAGGGTTTTTCACTGACGAGAGAAAGATTTAATTGTGATTTATTCTTGGCTCCCTTTAAATCAAACATCCTCAGTCAAACCAGTTCTGGCCCCTAGGGGGCATTCTGATAATTGAAGCAGGGTAACTGGCATTCAGGAGGGGGAAGCTGGTGGTGCCTGACTGTGTCAAAGCCTGGGTTCCACACACATGAATTGTCTCTCAGCCTTCACAATCGTCAAATGCCCAATGGGACATCCATGTAGGTGTAAAACTGTTTTTAATGAACTGAGCCTAGAATCTATCTCTATTTTACATATAAACTTAATGCTGGTTTTATTGGCGGGGCCACAGTTTCAACAATATATAATACGTTTCGTGGGAACACAATTACTTTGAAAATTGATGGAGGATTACTACTTTGCTTTGTTTAGAACCTTTCCAAGAGCTGGTTACTATTATGGACCGAATTGTGTCCTGTCCCCACCCCCACTCATATGTTGAAGCCCCAGCCCCCAGTACCTCGGAATGTGACTACGTAGACACAGGGCCTGTAAAGAGGTAATTAAGTTAAAATGGGGTTATTAGAGTGGGCCCAATATGGTGTCCTTATGTGAAGAAGAGATTAGGACTCAGACACACCGGGGAAAGGCACCGGGGGGAGATGGCCATCTCTCTGCAAGCTAGCTCCCTCTGAAGAGACCAAAATTGTCCACACTTCGATCTTGGTCTTCCGCTTTCTCCAGAGCTGTGAAAAAACAAGATTCTGTTGTTTAAGCCCCCTAGTCTGTGGTGTTTTATTATGGCAGTGTGAGGAGACTAATAGGGGTCGCTTTATGTTTGGAAAAATCACAATAATGACATTAAAGCTGCTCACTGCCCCTGAGTCCCCAGCACGGCACATCCATGCTAGTGTGCAATTGTAGTGGTCGCCTTCCTGGAGATCCTACACGTAGGGCAACCGTCTGACTACATTATATAAGATATTGTGGTGCCTGAGGAATTGCTTAATGACATTCCTATTACTATATTACAAATTACCTTTCTGTATTTTACCTTTGATGGTAGTTAGATTAATACATTGATATTTTGGGAAATAGGCGGGTTATTATTTTATTATTATATATTGCATATATATTTTATTGTATATTATCATAATTATTTAGGCAAATAGGCAAATTGTATAGGCAAATTATATTACCTATGAATTTTAATTGAAAACATAAAGAAGACATTTAAAAATATTTATTATAGGGGGCCAGGGGGCTGGCAAAATGGGTAAAGGGAGTCAAAAAGTATAAACCTCCAATTATAAAATAAATAAGTCATGGAGATGCAGTGTACAGCATGGTGACGATAGTTAATAATGCCATAGGGACTCCTGGGTGGCTCAGTCAGTGAAGTGTCTGCCTTTAGCTCAGGTCATGATCTCAGGGTCCTGGGATCGAGTCCTGCATTGGGTTCCCTGCTTAGCTGGGAACCTGCTTCTCCCTCTGCCTGCTGCTCCCCCTGCTTGTGCTCTCTCTCTCACTCTCAGACAAATAAATAAAATCTTTTAAAAAATGCTGTATTATATATTTTAATATATATTGTTGATAAGAGATTAGATCTTAAACATTCTCATCACAAGAAAAATTCTGTAACTATGTGTGGTAATGGATGCTAACCAGGCATTGTGGTGATCACTTCTCAATATATACAAATATCACAATTCTGAGGCCACTATGGGTGTGCTCACACACACATACACACTTGCACACACATGCATGCACACACACTGGAATCGAACAATTAAATGGATAACAGATGCTGGGAGCCAGGCTTCTCACTGCTGGTAAAGGAGGTAGTCCAACAGATTAGCAAGAGGAGAGCCTAGAACTATTCATGTGGTAATGAGTTAGAGCTGGAGACATCAGTATAAATCCATGGTTAGCTTGATATAGATATTTACATGTAGAAATATTTATAGATACGTGCATTCACATAGCTTAATACACACATATGGATTTCCTCAAAATATATGTATACACAAGTATCAAGTCATTATGTTGTACATCTGAAACTGATGTAATGTTATATATCAATTATCTCTCAGTAAAAAATATATTTATTGCAAAAGCCAGCGTTGGGTTTGCTGAGGTTGATACATGAGCATTAGGAGGGGTAAGTTTCAGGTACATTTTAAAATTTTGTCTGTCTGAAGCCGTGGCTCTTAAACTTGGTTTCATGTTGCTGAGGGATGGGTGCCTGGGCTCCACTTGGAGAGAGTCTACTTTGGTTGGAGTGTGGCATGGGCATCGAATGCTCCCCAGGGGATTCTTATGTGTAAGTAGGGTCGAAAACCACCATGGTGAGTTTAATACATGCAATTCTTTGACACTCCTTCCATCAAACGGTAGATCTAATTCCCCCTGAATTTGGGCCAGTGTAGTGACTGGCTTCTGGCCATGGAATATAGTAAAAGTATCACTGCGTAACTTTCAAGGCTAGATCAGACGGGCGACACAGTGTCCACCGGCTCTCTGTCTCTCTTCCTCTCTCCTGTGCCTTTCCAGCCCCGAGCAGCCACGTAAGAATGACCTACACTGAAGCCACCACACTGGAGGGATCATGGGGAGAGACCATCTAGAGGCAGAGAGAGCTATCTGAGGAATACTAGCTGCTAACCCCCAGCTGCTTGGTTCTTCCCAGCCCAGGCACCAGTCATGTGAGTGGACAAGCCTCCAAGATGATCTCTGACTGCTCCCCAGCGAAGACCTTGAGCAGAGCAGGACTGCCCAGTGGAGCCCATGCATCCATGAGAGATAGTTATATATGCTGGTTATTGTAGAGACCACTGTTTGGGATGGTTTGTTACGTAGCAATAGAAAACAGGAGCAAGCTTTACTGGTATTTGCAAAGCCCTTTCCCTGATGGAATTAAAGAGTTGCCTTTGTGCCCTCACCTTGCTCTCCAGATCCCATCAGGATGGGACACATTCCCTCTTCGCTTTGGTAAGACTACAGGAGTCTGCGGGACTCCCTAGGAGTTCTGTTTCTCGGGCCTCATTTGTTTCTAACTTGTTAATGGGGGAGAAGCAATTATCAGCCCAATACAGAAAAATTCTAACCAACCCTAGTGTAAAGGCCACATTGTACATTGGTTAAAAGGACACAGGCGTA